AACCCAAATAAAACAATCAATAAATGGACAAAGGATCTAAACAACCACTTCACAGAATAAGAAATACAAATGGTCAACAAATACATGAAAAATGTTCAACATCTCTAGCAATTAGAGAAATGCAAATTAAAACTACATTGATTACATCTTACTCCAATAAGAATGGCAATTATCAAGAATACAAGTAACAATAAATGTCAGCAAGGATATGGATGGAAAGGTACACTCAGACATTCTGATGGGACTGAATATTGGTTTAACCACTCTGGAAAGCAGTATGGAGATTCCTCAGAAAACATGGAATGGAACCACAATTAGACCTAGCTATTCTACTCCTCATTTTATATCCTAAGGACACAACCACATCAATGTTTATAGTAGTCCAACTCACAATAGCTACACTATGAAACCAACCTAGGTGCCCTTCAACAAATGAATGGATAAAGAAATGTGGTATATAAACACAAAAGAATATAACTCATCCTTAAGGAAGAATGAAATTATGACATTTGCCGGCAAATAGATGGAGCTTAAGAATATCATGGTCAGGGAAATAAGAAAATTCCAAAAAAAATCAAAGGCTAAATGTTCTAATATGCAGATACTAACTCACAATGGGGGATGAGGATAGAAGTTCATTGGAGTAGAAAAAGGGAATGAAGGAAAAGGAGGAAGGATGAGAATAGAAAATACAGTAGAATGAACTTGACATAACATTTCTATGTTCATTACTAAAACTCTACATCATGTACAACCACAAGAATACTCAATGTACATATAAAAAGTCAAAATACATTCTACTATCATGTATATCTAACAAGAACCAATAAAAACTTTAAGAATATAACCTAGGGAGTCTTGCCCCAGAGTTTGTGCTCTGAACCACTATAATGTGATTCTCAAGACTTAACGTTTCTTCATCTTACAGTTATACAATTGCCAACACTTTTTTTTCAAGTCCACCCCCAAGTCTCACTGAAGAGATACAAGAAATATAAAAATGACAAGTAATCCATAACAATACCAAAGATCAGAAAGTTCACCTCAAATACAGAGAGCTCCAATGTTCTTCAGTCAACCAGAGGGGTGTCCCTGCCTGCTCCTGGCTTACACTGCTGAAGAAGAATTCTCCACTTACAATGAAGTGAATGCTGCCATTTTTCCACTATCTGACTTTTGTTGTTGTTATTGTTACCAGGGATTGAAATCAGGGACACTTAACCACTGAGGCATATCCCCAGGTTTTTTTAATATTTTATTTAGATAAAGGGTCTCACTGAGTTGCTCAGGGACTTGCTAAATTACTGAGGCTGGTTTTGAACTCAAGATACTCCTGCCTCAGCCTGAGCCTCTGGGATTACAGGCATGTGCACCAAGCTCCTACCTACTCTTTCAAGTTACACTATCGAAACTAGGATTCTATCTACTTTCTTAGTTACTTCTGTTTTTTATATAAACACTAGACAGCTTCTAATTGCTAAAGAAACATCTACTGGTTTCATCTATGACCAGGAATGAGAACCACACAATGGTCTCAAACAGCATATAGTAATAAAGAAACAAAATTACGAGAGCAACATAAAATAAGGAAGAGAGATCCAAGATAACTAATGTCAAACAAAATGAGTTCCAGAAGGAGAGACAAAACAGTGAAGTAATGAAGGACAAACAGGAAAAATATCCTATAAACTAAAAATAAAGATGTTACCAGGAGAAAGAGGTTCATCAAAGAGTAAACAAGAACACTGAAAACAAAGAATATGCCTAGATACAAATCTTATAAATCTGTCACACACTGATTCAACTATAACATAAAATAAATAATTCACACATTTATCATGTATATACATAAATATACATCATGATTTATAATATCAAATATATATAATGCATACAAATGTCACATGAAATAATTGAACACATGAAGTCAGAGCTGTAAACTAGAGCAAGTCTCATGATAACACATGCAGACAGAGCAAGTGCCTCTCTACCTGTGGATTTTAAGAGCAACTTTTGCTTTCCAGAAATTTGCAACATATCAAGCTATTGCCTCAGGCAGAAGTCTGAATATAAAACAACATACTGTCAAAACATTCTCACTATCTCAAAAGTACTTTCTTCTGAATGCCTAGTGGAAGTCTACATAGACACACATGATAATACAGGATTATCTCATGTATATAAGAGTTAACATAGCAGGATTAAAAAAGGAAACTAAGAAAGTAGAGGCTGTTTGTAGGGTTGGCTTTTGGCTAGTAAACATTTCCCTACACAGATGGATCTCCCCCGCCACACACCATCATAAAACTGTTTCCCAGTTGAAGCTCTGAACACCTGTCTGTCTTCTCAGAGGCTTGATTTTTTTTATAGTTGGTAGGCACAGAATGCCTAGGCACCTGATTAGTTCCTAATTAACACTGGATACTGAGATTCTACTGCATCTCTGGGCAGAAACATGGCACATGTTACTGGACTTTCACTACTGAAGAAAGGAGAAGGCTCCATGCAATCCCTCAGTGAAGAAGACTGTAGGGATCTTTTACAAAGATTACTCCTATCACCTTCCTATGCCTCTTTACCCTTGATGATCCTATTGTTTATCTTTCACCTCATCTATGACACAACTATATGCTGTGTCCCTTACATCATTGTAAGGAATCAACTAACGTGCAGAGACTCCCCCAACAGCTTGTAAACTAAAATCCTCCAATTAAAATCAGAAAGTTTAGAAAAAAAAGAAACAAGTCTAGAAAAAATGAAAATGATAAAAATGACATGAAAATCAATACAATACAGAAATTTTATATTATAATTATAAGAAACAGCATCTAAAATAGATGACAATGATTAAAATCTATAGCAGGTATCTTCAAAACTTTTTTTCTTATGTTCTCTTCACATTTTTAAAAATTACTGAAGATCACAAAAAAACTTTCATTTGGGTTATATGTATCAATATATACAGTACTAGAAATTAAAATAGAAACTTTAAAAACATATACTCATTAAAAGTGAAAATAAATCCACTAGATAACATAAAAACATTTTAGGACAATATCTTTTCAAAAACAGAGAGAAAATAGTATTGTTTTATGTTTTGCCAGTTTTTAAAGGCCTGGTTTCATAAAATTTTACTATATTCTTAAATTTGTTTCTGCATTCAAGTTGATATATGAACATAAAAATATTTTCTTATACAGGTATATAATTGGAAAAAAGCAATCTTTTCAGGTAACCATGAAGGTTCTTTTTTTGACATCACACACACTCACCAAGTGGGGGATTTCTTAAAAATTTGTTGGATGGTATAATCTGAAACCATATTAATGAAGTATCCATCCATTAATTTCTAGTACTTTGAATGAGTATTTTCTGCCCATCCAGGGTTTTGTAACATTATGTTCAAGCAATTCAAACACTATTGGTTCACTATATACAAAGCTTCCAAATACTGACCAATTCCATTAAAAGAAGTAAAACTCAGCTGTCTTCACATATGAGGAAGCTGTCAAGCTCATGATGGTAGGGACATGGTTTCTAAAATTCTTAGAAAGTTAACTGTTATCACTATTAACAATGAGGACCAAGATATCTGTTGTTGTTACACTAAAAATGGTTCTACATAAAAAAGTGATGTGTATCTCTTATAATTACATAGGAGTTTTTCTTAAGAGAACATCATACTATAGTATTAAGATATACATACAAAAAGTGAAGAAACATTTATTCAAGAAAATGTAAAGTCAGAACAGTAATCATATGAAGCAAGTATTTGGGCCAAGAACTATTCCCTTTCTGCCCCTCAGCACAGCAGAAGAGATGATGATTCCATGCCAACTGGTATAGAGGAGAACACAGGGCTCTCTCTGACCCTAGCTCCCAGTTGTAGGATTATCTCCATGAAAGGCAGAAGCTGACTCCATTTCTCAGGGCTCAAGGTGAGGCACAATATCATAGTGGAAGAGTGTGGCAGAGAGAAGCAGCTCACATGATGATCAGTAAGGAGAGAGGAAAAAGACTCCACTATCCAGGTACAAAATATATACTCAAAAGCTACACCCCCACTGCCCACCTCCTCCAGCCACACACTACCCTCCTTCATTTACCAATCAGTTAATCCCCATCAGGAGATTAATCCACTGATTAGATTTAGGCTCTCGCAGCCCAATCATTTCTCCTCTAAACCATCTTGTATTGTTGCACATATAAGCTTTTGGGGAACACTTTATATCCAAAACACAACACTACTATAACACATAATCACAAATTTAATTGCTTAAATAGCACACTTATTATCTCATAGTTCTATAAAGCAGAAATCCAAACTGAGTCTTTCTAAGCTAAAATCAAGTGCATTCCTCCTTTCTTAATTCTGTGCATTAACAATCAAACTTTTAGGAAAGGAATATACAATGTGCTACCTAATACTTATTTAGTAAATGACAGTGTACTAGTAATAATGATACTTAGAATTTAAGAGTGGTACACAATAAATCAACATCATCATCAGAAAACATAATTTATACAGCCCCTACTTTCATTAAAAAACTTAAATGTATATACATCATGACATTCTCCTTTAAAAAAAAAAACCAAGCCCCATTAACTATTCTGTGCCCCAACCACATCAAACTACACAAAGTAAAATAAGCATGGCAGATTCATTTTAATTTAAAAAGATCAAAATAGCAATTTCCATTTAAAACAATACTGTTAAAATATTTAAGTATTTTAAAACATTAAGGAATATTAAGCCAGGTTGGTGGTGCATGCCTATAATCCACCAGCTCAGAAGGCTGAGGCAAAAGGATCACAAATTCCAGGTAAGCCTCAGCAACTCAGTGAGGCCCTGAGTCACTTAGTGAAACCTTGTCTCAAAATTAAAAATAAATAAATAAAAGGCCTGGAATGTACCTTAATGGTAGACTGACTCTAGGTTCAACTCTCAGTACCAAAAAGAAAAAATAAATAAATGATATACAATTAAATTCATTTCTTACCATATACGAGATATTTTAGTTGAAGATTTTTAACAATTTCTTCCACAGTAGGTTTATACTCAAGAAAACATGTGTAAACTCCACTCATAGCCTCCTCGAAGTTCTGGAATATAAGGCTTCCTGTGGATGTTACTTGTGCAGTGCTGTTTTCTAATAAAGCAATAAGATATAGTTGCTTAAATTACATAAGACAGGAAAAATACAAAACAGTTATTAAGCAGAGTCAAACCACCAAAATTTATCTACGCAGTCATTAAAAGGAGTTGGGAGCAGAGCTAAACATTGCTTCAGGTACTTGTTTACAGTGGGTGCCAGGCTGACCTCCTTAGTTTCAGCTTTTCACTAATCAAAGTTCATCAACTGTGTGATTAAGACACTAACAATGTAATGAACATAATGAGTTCACAATTCAACCCTTACATTGAGCAGAGCACTATCAGAAATATAGTATATATAGATACAGATATACATTAAATGTATATACATATACATGAATTATATATATTATATACAGAATAAATACATAATGTTACTTATATAGTATATATCTATATATACTATAAAATACTACATATTTTAAATGATGAATTATTTCTGACTTCAATAAGCTTACAAACTGTGTATGAAATCGATAAAACAATAGAAGAAAAGCTAACAAAATATTATCATTAATAAATATTTCTGTCACTACACAGAGTGTAAAGAAAAAATTGAGTTATAACCTTGAGGGATGAAAAAGAAACATATAGAATATTAGATCATCTGACTTGCCCAAGTCACAGAACAGGACATAAACTCCCATTTTGTTTCAACATATCTTATGAAGTATCACATCAGAAAAAAGCTATTATTGTAAAACAGAAAATAAATAAATGTGACTTTAAGGTATTAAGCCCTGGCTTTGAAGTCTACTTGTTAATATTGTTAACTACTTAATCTTGTTAACTACTTAATCTTTCTGAAGTACAACTCTTTCATTTGTACAATGAAGAATCATGATATTTGACAGTCTACATAGAATTGTTATATGTAACAATTATAATAAATATGAAGGTATCTGCAAAGTCTATACATTATCATTTCAAGTAATATTTTATTCTAAAAGTTTATAACTACACTTTTGTATCAGAAACATTCTAGGTATTAAAATTTACCTAATAATTTAATATTCCATTTATTAGAATTATCTTGGGAAATGGATGTCTACCTTTTGCTATTTTAATTAAATGATTAAATACTTGTAAATTTTAAGTTAAAAAATTCTTCAAACTAAGACAAAGATGAGTATTCTTAATGCTGAAATTTTCATTATTAATTAATTTTATAAATACTGATTGAGTTTTTAATACATGCTAAGCCTTGCTTCAGATATTGAAGGAGAAATGATGGATATACCCACCCTCAAGCAATTTACATAGAGCAATATGCCTTGAGAACTCCCATTTCTATATTCTGGATGAAGCTGAAAAACGTGATATAAATTTAGAATATATTTCTGTTTCAATGCTTTTTTTCATGAATATCTTTTAATAAAAAATTACATATTAATGTTAACATGTTAACTCATCTAAAATAGATTATAGAGCTTGCAAGTGTTTGATATCTATTTCAACAGACCAATCACCTCACATTAATACAACAGAAAGTTCCTGTAAATTTTAAAGAAATCATCAATGAGGTCATATATTTCTTGGCAATAATTTGAAATGAAAGTTTGCCACACAAAAAGTATCAACAAATGTATCAAAATATTGATTTAAATATCTACTACAAATGTTAAATATTATGAGTTACAGAAAACTAAGTAGCATTAAAACTATAATAAAATGCCATCTGACTATTAAAAAAATTAAAAATTGCTCTTTCAAAAGATATCCAGAGAATGTCATATTCTATAGAAGGACTCATTCTATAATATTGCTTGTTAGTGATCATTTCATAGACCCTTAAGTGACTAAGTCTAAATGGAAATTCATGAACCCAAGTGCTATGTACTTGACATTGATAAGATAAGACAGTTTAAGAACATATGCAGCAACAGATATTCAATATTAATGTTTCATTAGTTAGTAATTCTTCCTTTCTAGCTTATATAAAAATTCAGAGTTGAACTAGATCTGTAGAAGTCCATGCCTTAAAGCTCTAAAATTAACAAAATTTAAGCTAACTTAATTATATCTAATTATTTTTGAAATAGGTTTATACTTCTGATTTCAGCTCAGAAAAGGAAAATGAATGTAACAGTACAAACCCATCGTTACAATAAGGAAAGACCAAGGAAAAGCTGCCAATTAACAGTTTTTCTTGATTTATAAAGAAATTGAGGTGGTAGGGCATATCTGAGAATAGATAGGGCTTAAAATTAGAACAAAATCTGAGCTTTTTTTTTCAGCTGCTACATAAATTGTGGTTATGGTTTAGATCTAAAATGACCCCACAAAGTTCATGCGTTGAGGAGTTGGTCCCCAATGCAGCAGGGTTCAGAAATGGGGTCTTGGGAAGATGACTAGATCATTATAACTTTGACCTCAATGAATTAATTCATTTTTGATTCACAGCTTAATGGATTTGGGGGTGAAAAGGCTAACTTTGGTTATTAAGTGACACTCAGCTTCATAGCTGCCATGATATGTACAGCTTTGTTTCACCACATGTTCTGGCCATGATGCCCTACCTCACCAAAGGCCTACAAACAGGCCAACTGAGTTTGAATTGAAACCTCCAACACTGTGAGTCAAAATAAGTACTTCCTCCTTTTAAGTGTCTGTGTCAGGCATTTTGTCATAGCCACAGAAATTTGACTAACATGGTAATAAGATTCAGCCAAAATTTTTTGATGAGTTATTAAAAGCCAAGGGAAGACCAATGTAAGAAAATGAACCCTCAAGGGATCACACACTAGAAAATTGTGCAATGTTATAAGTTTTTCATTCACAAACTCCTCCCGTGCAAACAGAAAGATCAAAGGAAACAAGCTTTCTACAGGAGCTGGCTAGAAGAATGTAGGTTTTGCCAAAACTCTACCCACACACACTTTTCCCCACACCTCCTAATGGAATAAAGCTTTTAAATACAGAGAGAAACAAAACTGTTACCTATAGTGCTAGAGAAACTTGTTGCAGCTCAAGAAACAGGAAGTAGGAAAAAATGTTTCAGCCTTGGCAAAAAGTCAGGAAGAAGTGCTAGGTCAGAATTACAGCTGGAGGAGGACCCAGAGCAATCATGAAGGCTAAATTCCCAAGAAACTGAGATCTTATGCTTGTCAAAGATTAAAACTGAATCAATTCAGAGAATGTCCCTCTTTCTGAATTATCAATCACTAATAAAAAAAATTAATTTTTTTTTAAAAAAAGAAAGCAGTGGAATAATGCTGGCAGGGCTCCAAGAAGGACTTTCTGGGCATCTGTCCAAAATAAGAAATCCAAGGAAAGATTACACACTAGAAAAAAAATTCTAATGAATCCAACTATACCTTAAACATTTTAAGGGTATTTGAAGATTTCAATGCACTGAATATAGTCATGGCAACAATCAATATCAAAGTCCAAAAACTTTTTACTAAATTAACACATCCCTAACATTAAAGGATGATTATCTCAAAGCAGAAAAATATCTACTTTCCTAGTCAAAATGTCCAACTTCAATAAAAGTTGTCATATGAAAAGGCAAAAAATTGGCACATTCACAAGATAACAAGCAATGCTAAGGACAAGACTCTTTCATGGCATAGGTATAAAAATTATTGATGATTAATTTAAAATAGTTAATGTGACAAAAGATATACTGGAAAACAGACAATATGTAATATCAGTTAAGTAATTTTAGAAGAGAAATTCAAAGTACAGAAATGATTAATTGAAACAATAAAACTATACACTTATTCAAAGTGTTTACTGAAACACAAGGAGAAGAAAAAAAGAAAATATGAAATCTATAGTACTATATTAGAAAGGGTTGTGTAAGTGTGATAGAATATCAGGGAATTATAGAAGATGTGGTGGCACAGAATGGGGCCAAAGGTATTTGAAGACACAACAGTTGAGAATTTTCAAAAACTAATGATGTCAAACTACAGATCCAAAAAGCTTAGAAAACACATGCAGAAAAATATAACAACCAAACAAAAATATACACAAAAGAATCAAATCACTGGGCATGGTGGTGCATGCTTATAATACCAGTAACTCAGGAAGCTGAGAAAGGAGGATTTCAAGTTTGAGGCCAGCCACAACAATTCAGTAATGCCATAAGCCACATAACAAGATACTGTCTCAAAATAAAACAATATGATATATCAAAGTGCATAAATGCATTCTACTGTCATGTATAACTAAAAACAAATAAATTCTTTTTTTAAAAAAAGGCATGAGTGAAATCTCAGAAGGAGAAGAGAAAAATAATGGCAGAAGCAATAGTGTAAGAGATGACAATTTAGAAACGGCCAAAATAAAGAATTCTGTGTTTTTTTTTGTTGTTGTTGTTTTTTGTTGTTGTTTGTATTTTGACATTGAATTACTAAATAAAGGCTTAAAGTTTGAAAAAATCCAAAAAGAAAAAAATAAAAATAAAATAATAAAAAGAGCTGGGATGTGGCTCAGTGATGATTAGGTTTAATCACCAATACCACAAAGAAAAAAAATAGAATCAAATTGCCAAAAATGAAAAGCCAATGGTATTAGAAAAAATATGATACATCAATCACAGAAAGACAAAGAAACACAGCAGATTTCTCATTAGAAATTATGCTAGTAAAAATAAGTGTCATCTTTAGAATGTTGAAAGAAAAAAAAGACTGCCAATCCAGAATTCTACCACCAGCAAAAGAAAAAGACATGCAAATTAGACACAAAGGAAATAATATGGGTAAAACAAATCAATAGTTTGAAAACAGAAAAATAATAAGAGAAAGTCAATGAAACCCAAAGCCAATCCTTCAAAGAGATGATACATTTTTGAACATGTAGCCAGAAAGAACAAAAACAAAGAGGACAGAATCAACAATCAATCAGGAGGGAATAGGGCCACACTGCCATAGAACCTGAATATATTTAAAAGATAGGAATATATTACAACTACTTTTTTACTACAATTTTGTACACATAAAATTGACAAGATGAAAAATCCAACAAGCTGGACAAATTCCTTGAAAGTTGCAAACTACCAAAATTCATACACTGGTGATAATCCTATTTATTCCTCATTGAGACTGTATCTATAAACTCTGTAAGTCAGACTGCAAACACTTTCGACTTCAGAAATATACCTTATTCAACCAATGCCTTTTCTTTCCAATATATAAATGGAGAAAAAATTGCTGTACTTACTGGAAAAGGTTATTGTGAAAATTAAATAAAGAATGTGTAAATTGTTTAGAATACTATCTCATACATAGTAACTCTTATATACATATTATTATATTTATAAAATTCATCGTTAAGTGAATAAGCCAGACACTGAAAGACATATATGCATGATGGTACTTATACATGGAATCTAAAAAAGCCAAACTATATAAACAGAGAAGAGTTATTATTAGGGGATAGAGATGGGGTAAACTGCCAGCTTTTGGTGCAAGGGCATGAATTATCAATTAGAAGATAAATAATTTTTGGAAATGACAAAAAGTCCAACAGTCTTGCTAATAGTGTATCTTAAATTTTAACAGCAGGTTAAAGGATGTTTGTGTTACTGTGCTTCAAAACTTCCATATATCTTATAAACATTTGTATATGTAAGATATTTCAAAATATAAAATTAAAATATAATAAGTATAATCTATATTATTCTTAAAAATGGTAAGGGTAGGTTATAGGGGAAACCAAACACATGAATGTGTGCATGTGCTTATATACATTTGTGTAAGCATTTAGAAAAGTGGAAAAGTTGACACACCAAAAAGAGATAATTCATCAGAGGACTATCAGGGTTAGAGTGAGAAGTACAGAACTTTTCAGAAGATATGCATTATTTTGTAAATGAATACTTGAATAAGAGACAGACTGACCAAATCTAAGAATCGACCCCCACATTTCACAACATATCTAAACAATTGAATATTTTTCCCAAAGGAATATACAACTAATTACATAATCATATAATTTCTTTGGTTCAGTTTTAGTCTAACTATCTTTAGAATATTGAGGAAATAACTAAAGTGCAGTATACTTTAAGCTACAGTCCAAAGGTGCTTTTCTCCTTTACAAACTGTAAGAAAATTAAAGCTTTAGCTGTTCTTTCTGAAATAAAAGTGACCGTATGATTAATAAACTTTAAAACCTGGTAGACAATGAACTATAAGATGTCACAATCACCAAGTTAGAATATTAGAATTCTATGACAATAGTTTTTATATACATAAAAAAACACTATATTGATGTGATTTATCCTTACCTGGAAATAACCACAAAGTAAAATAAAATACTGCTTACTCCTAAAGGATAAATTGAATTACATACTATACTTTGTGGTATAAACTGCAAACAAAACCTGGCCAACTTAAGAGAAGAAAATGTTTCAAATTTCAATTTCCAAATCAAAGAACCAACAAACACAATTGAAAAATTCAACATTTAAATGCTTCTACTTTTCAACTTAACAGTTTCAATAGCAAATATAGAATGTATTTAAATTATAATTTTATATTATATGCTGCTATTAGGGAACAACAAAAACAAAATGTGATTATATTTTCAGTATCAAGTGGTTTTACACTTGAACCATTTCACTGATTTAAATAAGTTACCGCTACCAAAACTCTTAGAATTTCTTTTACTGACTTCTTCTGATTCCGTGAATACATGGTACAACTGTTCCTTCTATGTTACTGTAATGAGGCAGAAGTTATATCTGATATTTTTATCTCCCACAAAACCCAGCACAATGGCATCTACCACATAGTCACTGACTATAGGATAGTAGATAACTCACTTTCAAAGAACCAAAAACACCTCCCCTAAAGAGATTAATTCTTTAAAGTTTGAACTATTTAGGATGAACATTAGTATTATGAAAATGAACATCCCTCAATTAAATAAAAATATAAATTAAAACATGTTACAAAATAAATATTTCCTACAAAAGCCTCTTTAGGAAGACTGTGAATAATTATACTTTCCTTAATCTATGATAAGTAATGTAATCTTGGAGATTTTAATCCAGAGGTATTATCTCTAATCTATAAATGGTTTTTTAAAGGAAAGAAAAGAAAACTAATTTTAAAAAACACCTTTCCGCTGAGGATATGTAAAAATGATTAGGTAATTCATCAAACACATCTTTAGTATGAAATTCATTAGTGCATACTACCAGCAAGAGAATAAATAAAACCATCTAAGGCTGGGGATGTGGCTCAAGCAGTAGTACGCTCTCCTGGCATGCAGGGAATGCTGAGTTCGATCCTCAGCACCACATAAAAATAAAATAAAGATGTTGTGTCTACTGAAAAAACTAA